GCGCGCGCTCGCCTGTCAGATTCGCGCGGGATGTCAGCGGCGCCTCGCGCTCAGGGCCGCGCGCGTCGGATCGCGTTTCCACGTGCAGCTGGAAGCCCCGGCCGTCGGAACCGCCGTCTTCCGGCCGCGCGCCCGCGAGCCAGTCGCTAATGGAATTCGAAGAGTCCAGCTTGTAATAATCCATAACGTCGCGAAACACAAAAGAAAATCATTCCCGGCCCCCGAAGGGGCCCCGGCTGGCGGCAGTCGGGAAGGCCCAGTTACTCGATCGCGCCCGTCAGCAGAGCGCCCGAAGTTGCATCGGCCTGCCCAAGGGGGGCCCAGGAAGTCTCGGACGAGGCATTGGGTTGATCCGCAGGAGTGGAATTACATCACCTGGCCATCCTGGCCAACGGGATTTGACCTGCGGCCCTTCCCTTTGTCGGTTGACCTAGTTCCGTCGCGGGCGCCCGGGGCCCCCTGCCTCGCCCGCCAAGGAATCGCCTCTCGTTGGCCTCGTCGGCCACGGCGAAGACGTAAGTCAGAATACCTTTTTTCCAATGAGTCGCCCACGCCCCCCTCGGCCCCCGCGCCCCTTTTCCCCATGGGGTCGTCTCGCGAGACGCCGGGCGCGGCGCGCTGACTTGCGCGCGCAGCGCCGCCAGCGGCCGCTGCGATAGTCTTCTGAAGTAGCATGGCTGTCGCGTTGATCCACGAGGAACTCGAATCCCCCGCGCGCACTTCGCGATCGCGCCCGCGTCCGCGCCGCAGCGCCGCAGCCGCCCGCTCCTGTCGGGCCTCCCCGCAGCGCGGCCGCGGGCGCAGCAGCAGGGGCCGCCCGCGGCGCCGGCGGGGCCCAGGCGGCCGCGTTCCCTCGGGCCCTCCCCAATTTCACTTCGGGGGGCGCCCGCCGTGGGGGCGCCCGCGACGCGAGCGCCCGCTCCGGCGCGCCCGCCCATGAGCTGGGCGACGCTGCCAGGCGCCCTCTCCTACGCGCGCCTCCAACGTCGCGACGATTCGAAAAGATCGTCGCACTGCCGTTCGACCCGAGTCGCCATGCCGCAGCGGGGCTGCAACAGTGGCGCAATTTTCCCCGGCGGCGTGCGAAGTGCCAGCGCTAGCGCTATATTTGGAAATTCTCTAGGCCGGAGCCTGCAGCGCCAGCCTCCATTCGGGCACTTTCCCACCTAGTCGGAACGCCGTCGGTGCGCTCGTTCGGCTGCACCTTGAGCTCGAGGCCCCGTTGTAATTGTCGCTCGCCCTCGAGGCGCTCGACCCGCCGGGCTAGGTGGCGCGCGAGGTAGGCGCGCCGATCGGCGCGGACGCCGCCCACCTCCGCGCCGAAGTTGATGGCGGCGGGCGGGGTCCTCGCAGCCAGCTCGCGCGCCAGGCCGTGGAGGCCACGCTGCAAGGCCGCGGCTCGCTGCGAGGGCGTCACGCGCCCAGAGTGGACGTTCAGCCAGGCGCGCGCCTCGCAAATCCAGTCGCGGCGCGGGGCCGAGCCCGCGGGGCCCCAGGTCGGACCCCTCGCCCCCGTCGCGCTCTCTTTCGCGGCGCACGCCGTAGATGGCACCCCCAATTGGCCGCCGCAGTCAGTCCGCGCACCGCCATTCCCAGAAAGTGCATTCAATTGAGATATGCATAAGAAACCGCGGCACGTCTTGAAATGGCGACGGCGCTGGCCGCGTTGCCGCGAGCGGCTGGGGGCGCATAAAAAGGTTCGCGAGCCGGGGATCCCGTAGGTCGAAAATGCAAGGATCGCTCGGGCGACCGCGAGCGAATATAGGTCAAATCGCGGCGGAAGAAACACTCGCAAAGTCGTAGTGCAGGTAAAACTCCCTCGCGCGCTCGACATAGAGAGAGGTAGGTGCGGTCGCGTTCGTCGTGGCGGTCGAGGTAGCTTTCGCGCTCGATGACGGCGCAGTGGTTGAAGTAGTGGCTGGGGAGAGCTTCGGCATGTCGGTCGAGCCTCCTCGCGCGCTCGAAGTCTATGTCGTAGAGAAATTAGGCGCAGTGGCTGCGTTGCGGTAGGCACCCACGATGCGGATGTTCAGGCACTCGCCCACCATGCTCGTGTTGCGGTCCTGCAGGTAGCCCCCGCCGCACGTGGAGATGACGCGCACTGGCAGATAAGGTGACGCTGCCTTGAGCCGGGACGGCGGCGATAAAGGCAAGGCTTATGTTCCCCCCTTGGGACATCCCCTCGAAACTCACGAAGATCCGTAAACTCCAAAGCGGCCACAATCATTTCCAAGACGGCTGCGACCCCCCCCCCCCCCGAAAAATACAACCCCAATCGGGGATGGACAGAACCCCCTTTAGGAAAACGTGGTTTAGTGACAACGACCTCGGGCCCAAACCTGGAGGGCGTAAGCCTGGAAAATGACGGCCGCGGCGCCCTCTCGAGAACCGAAAACGGACAATTCACTAATCGACGTGTCAGGGTGGGGGTTCTGTCCAGCCCCGACCCAAGGTGTTTTCAATGCGGCCGAAATGCTCCGGAGATGGCCTCAAAATCGCCCAAGACGGCCCGGGAGGCCATTCAAACGGGTCAAAAGGACCTCCAAGAGAAGCTCCAGGAGAACCCCACGAGGCCGAAATCATTGACTTCCCGTAGTTGTTATCAATATTCGGGCGTTTGCTTATTTGTTGGCTTTCCGACGGCCCAAGACGGCCCCTGAAGCAACCAAGCTGGCCCCCAGCGAGCCCAACACAAGAGGGAGGGCACAAAGACGACACAGCAGGATACCTCCAACACGCCCACGATGGCCTCGAAGACGGTCCCGAAGCGCCCCGAGAGAGCCCCAAGTCGGCCAAGAGAGGCCCCCAAAACAGCGTCCCACGGGCAAGGAACGCCCTTAGAAAGTCAAAGCGTCTCCAAAGGAGCCCCAAAGGCCACCAAGAGAGCCAAGGAAACCTCCAAAATGCCACCACGAGGCCCTCGGGAAATTCCGAGGAGGCCCCAAGAGGCTCCTGAAAGGCTCCCAGGACGCTGCCATTCCCTCCTCCTCCTCCTCCTCCTCCTCCTCCTCCTCCTCCTCCTCCTCCTTCTCCTCATCCGCCTCCTCATCCTCCTCATCCTTCTCCCTCATCCATCTAAGATGGATGGGGGATCTAAGAGTTATCTATAAGGAAGAGATTACTCCTCCCAGTCGCACCCCAAGACGGGTCGGTAGGGCGGGCCGGGCGTTTCACCTGAGACTTTCTCACAATTTACAAATCTGAAGTAGAGGATTTGCAGCAGCTTCGCGGATGGAGGGTGGGCCGCTTTCAAAATGTGGTTCCCGCCTAAGCGCCGCGCGCATTCGCCTGCACAGTTTGCAGTGATTTCCGGATGAATGGCGGACCGTTTTCAAAATGTGGTTCTCGCCTTCGCGCCGCGCACACTCTTCCTAACGATTTGCAAGAGCTTCACGGATGGAAGGCGGGCCGTTTTCAACATGTGGTTCTCGCCTTCGAGCCGTGCATATTCGTCCTAACACTTTGCAAGAGCTTCACGGATGGAGGGCGGCTAATTTTCAATATGTGGCTCTCGCCTTCGCGCCGCGCACACATGTCTTCGCAGTGTACAACATGTCCAAGGACTCTGATCGCTGACGTCCCAGAAGTTGTGTCTTGGCGCGATTTAGGATTCTGAGGACGCGACAGTCACACTGATTTGCGATGTTGAAATCCCAGGAATGGTGTTCTGGTACGAAGCCCCTATGAATGGTGCTTTGGCATGGTTGCAAGACTGTCGTTTTCCAACTGAGCTCTTCCCGCAGCGAACATACACAGTTGTAGGGACCTGTGAAGAGGGGGCTTGGATAATTAGTCAATTGCCTCCTCCCCCTCCTCATCCTCAGTCGTCCTCCGCCTCCGCCTCTTCTTCTTCTTCTTTCTCCCCCACGTGTTCCTCCACAACGGCAGGGGGAACACATGATCCGATAGCTTGACCGAGCTCTGGCCAAAAACGTCAGGCCACTTAGGCGCTTCCGAAAGGGGGCGGCTGTGATTCGACACATGCGTCTTCGAGCTGCCGCCACTTGTTGGCTTGCCACAGTAGTGCACGGCGTGCCAAATTTCTGAGTGGTGTTCATTCTGAAAGGTTCCCAATCCAATGGGGTCTCGGCCCAACCCTCCGGTCGGGCGGAAAGCCGCGTAGAAGATGCGAGGCAACGTCCCTGACGCCTCCAAGACGGCCAAGATGGCCCAAGATGGCATCCAAGATGGCATCCAAGATGGCCAAAGATGTCCCAATATTGTCTCCAAGACAATCCAAAGACGCCTCCAAGACGGCCAAGACAGCCCAAAATGTCTCCCAGACGGCCCAATCGGCCCCCAGGACGCCTCAAGACGGCTCCAAGGAAATCTCCCAGAGTCCCAGAAAAATGCCCAACAGGGCCCCATGACAGCCCTAGAGATCCAGAAGACGGCCCCCACGCGGCACTATATACCTCCGAGACGGCCCTAAAGCGCACAAAGAGGGACCCACGACTGCTCGGAGAAGGCCCCAAGACGGCCTCCGAAGGCCAGGAGATCTCTCAGAGGTCCTGAGGAAGCCCCCGAGAGGCCCCAGGCGGCCCCCAAGAGGCCCCTCAGAGGCCCCCAAGAGGCCCCTCAGAGGCCCCCAAGAGGCCCCCAAGAATCCCCCACGAGGCCCAAAAGGGCCTCAACAGGCCTCCTACTCCTCGTCCTCCTCGTCCTCATGATCCTCCAACTTCCTCTTCCTCTCCCAGGTCTTCTTCCCCAATCTGGTTCCATAACGGCTGGGAAAATAGAAAGTCCATTAGATTGACCAGACTTCGGCCCAACACTGGGCCACAGTGGCGTCTCCTAAATCCAGGGGGCGGCGGTGATTCGCCATAGACGTCTTCGGTATAGGACCCTTACGACAAGCTGTTTAAGGAATCTCAGAGCAGTGGGTTCCGAGGGGGTTGCTTGAGTGCCACCAGAGCCGCCGGAGCACTGTTCTGACGAACCAGCTGTGGACTTTCCGCCTCAGGGCCACAATAGGTCAAGTCAGCTCTCGGGCCTCCTGGTCATCGCCTTGAGGAACTCGGCCAAGCCGAACGGCAACCGGATCCCTTTCGGACCTTTTGGATCCCGATACTGTGGACGCCGCCAAACCTGCACTGGCCACACTCGGCAAACCCAAGCCCTCGCTGCCCGGTCTGCATTTCCGTCAACGCCGCGTCGCAAGCCAGCCCACGCCTTGCCACCCGCAGCGGGGGGGGGGGCAGAGCGGAGGGCACAAGGGGATGGGGAGCGACGACGGGGCGGGGAGGCGTCGCGAGCGGCGAACGCGTCCGTATCCAACCCCTCGCGGTCTGGATCCACAGGCGTGGTCCTGCGGATGCGCGGTGGCACGAATGCGTTCCGCGCGGAGCTTCGAAAAAAACGCCCCAAATCCAAGCGGTCGCGGCCGAGGGACCCGGCCCGCGAGGCCGTGAGTACGGATAGGATTCTCGCCCACGAAACTGTGGGAGGATGGTCCAGCCAAAGTTCTGCACAGAAAACCTTGAATCAGGGACTAAGCGCGTTTCGGGCCTCAGTTGCGCCCGCATGCAGCATGAGGAACGCTGGATGACCTATGGAAAGACCCGAGGAACGTCGAACCTCTTCCAAAAACGAAACGGTCCTTATCGCAAATTCGCCGACCCTGTCGGCGTGCGTGAGGGGCTTGTCCGTTCGATTCGTTTCCGTTTCCATGGGCCCGTCGCCGCCTCCCCCCTTTCCCCCAGCGCGCCAGTCCAAACGAAATTGAGCAATGTCGTATCTGAGTCGAAGGGAAGCCCCTCCCCCTTGATCCCTCCCCCGCCAGGAGGGGTAGGGCCCAGGAGGGGTCCTGGGTCCCGTGGGGGGGGGTCAGATACGACGCCCCCACGGGGGGTCCGCAAACCCCAACAAAACCCAACAAGCGCCAAAGTTACCCCCCAAAAATGTTCAAGACTTTCCAAGCGGGCCCCGAATCGCCGAACGCTCGCCATGGCTCCCCCTGCTTCCCGACGCTCCAAGATGGCCCAGGACGCCTCCAACATCGCCCCAGGACAGCCCCAGAGCCCGCCAAGAGGTTCCCAAAACAGCCCCAGAAAGCGCCAAGACGGCCCCAAACACCTCCAACACGGCCTCAAAGGCTCTCAGGACGGGTGCCCACGCGAGCGAGGGACCCGAACGGAACTGTCCAGGCGTCGGCCCCGAAGATGCCTCTTCGAAGCCCCCATGAAACCCCAAGCAGCCCAACCCGATACTACAGTTCTAGCCTGGACCCATCATCGTTGGCGCGGACCCCAATCAAGGCCTGACAAAGTGCAAGCGCTGTTTGAGGAATGGTGCGTTCGCTTGAAACCGAGACACGTCAACCCAAAGTGGAAGGCCGAACGAACTGCCCCGACGGTCAGAATTTAACACGAGAGTGCCTTGTTAAATCTTGTCCGCAGCCCGGCGCCGTCCCCTCCCCAGGCCGAGGCCCGCACGAGGCATCCACCTGGGCTCCACAATCCGTTCCTCCTCAGTCGAAAGCCTGACGAACTGCCCCGACGGACAGAATTCAACACGAGAGCGCCTCGTGCAATCTTGTTCGCAGCCGGGCGCTGCCCCCTCCCCAGGCCGAGGCCCGCACGAGGCCCCGCCTATCTTCCTTCGAACCCACCCGCTCCTTAGCTCTCATGTTTCAAAGTACTCACGTCATCCTCCTCCTGACCCTCCCGCTCTTCCCCCTCCAACCACTTCTCCTCGTCCGCATCCCGATATTTCGCATGCTAGTGCTCAACATCCTCATCCTGCTCATCATTCTCCTCTTCCTGCTCAGCCCCCTCTGCCGCGTGAACTTACACCCGAGCGCCGCGAAATCACCTTCACCTCAACCTCCCCATACCCATCCTCCTCCTTCAGCCACTTCTCCTCCCTCCTCAACGTATTCCTCTTTCTCCTCCAACTGCTCGACCTCTTCATCCTACTGCTGAATCCGAATCCACCCATCCAAGCTTCCCCATGCTCTTTCTCGCCCTCCTCGTCCTCCTTCGCATCTTCCTCCTTCTCTTGCTGCTCCACCGCTTCCTCCACGTCCTTCCCCCTGTCCCTCCACGTCGTCTTCCTCGTCCTCGTCGTCGTCATCTTCAGGGTCGGCGGCACCAGCCGTAAAGCCTTCGCAATATCGGCTGTGGTGGCAGCTGTGGCGGTGTGGTGGCAGTGATGGGTGGCGGTGGGCGGTGGCAGGCGGCGATGGCGGCGGGTTTTGGCGGACTGCTGTGGTGACGACAAAAAAAAAACCCAACCAGACCGAAAGAGGAGAGGGAACGATCAGGCATGGTTGGGGCTTCTCCTCGAGGGGGGGAATCTGGGACTAACCCTGACGCCCCTTCCTCCTAGGTCCTGTCAGGGTTTCCTCCCCCCCACAAGATGGCGAGCGGAGGTGGGCGGTGAGCTCTAGGAGGGGGCGGAGCAGGGTTCGATAGAATGGAATACTCGCAATCGTTCGGACAACCATTATCCGTGCATGTTGTGATTCCGCGCGTACGTGTTTCGTAAGATGGTCACACATGTTCCTCGAGGGTATGCGCCGAGAAAAGAATGCACACGTCCAGGCGACATCAAGAAATAACACAAATCGTCTGTTGCGGTGTAATTGCAAAGGTACCGACTGACAAGGTATGATGACTTGTATTCACTGCCATTGGGCGCGCACTACGGAGGTCTCGCGCCACACGATCAAGGGCCCTGGAACGCCAGTGGAAGATATGGGCAACAGCAACACGGACCACGGGCAGGGAAAGAGAGGACCGAGGAAAGGAGCGAGGAGGCATTACTTACGCAGCGATATTGCGTTCCCTACTAGTTACTTGAATGTTCGATCAGGGGTTGCGCAGTCAAGAGAAAACATTAAGGAGGCGCAGGGGTGTCCCGTTTGCACACGGGCAGAAAAAGGCTGAAAAACAAACACATGGAAACGAGGTTGGGCCATCTCGGGCATACCACCCAAGTTTTGCCATGGTGAAGCAAAATCCACAAGGCTGATTCGTATCGGAACGCACGCAGAGACAACTGTTGGAAAGAAGCTCGCGCAACCGACTGTGAGACTCGACCTTCGTAAGATCGTCAGCGACGTGTCAGGTCGGCCCGAACCCAGAAGAACACTGTGTGCTTAAGGTACGCGTCAGCACATGCCTCTGCTGCGTGTGCGACGGCTGTGATATCAATGATAAGGCGGCGCTCCAAGCCCGCGGCACCAGTTCCCTCCTCGGTCAAAGCATTGCATCGCTTTTTGCACTCGGTCGCAATCGTGATAAGCCGAAAATCGCAGGACGTTTACTGGATAGGCCTGGGCGCGAAGCCTCAAGCAAAAGGAAGAGAACATCGGCTGCGTCAACGCCTGCATCTGAGGCTACTGCTTCAGTTGCCATGGAACTGCGGACGGCCCGCCTGCCGCGGCGATACTGCCAGTGAAGCCATCAGGCGGCCCCACCAATGATGGCAAAACAAAGACGGACGGCATAGAAGACCATGAACCAAGACTGACTATGATGCTGTCCGGCGTTTGCCCATGCTGCGCCAGCAAACGGCACGAGGGCGCATCGAACAAAATCCAACCGAACAATCATCAGTCCAGCATCCTGGGCACCCCCAAAACTTATGATAAGAACTTCGCGATCAAGGAATTGAAGCCCATCCCCGCTGAATGTCCTAACCCTCTTGAGAGGGCCAGCTTTGAAAGCGTGCATTGCCTTAGCGCAACGGGGTGCCTAACTGTTGAATAGTTTTGATTGCGCCGATTGCGTTGCCAGGGGCTGCAGAGCAAGACCTGAAGGAGTGCGCGCAGGAAAATGCGAAGAACGAACTGCTCGGAGATCTGGACGAAGACCCGCAGGAAGGCTGGAAGAATATCTGGACAGAGATACAGACGGAGGTTTGTGGGTAGATGTGAAGGAACATCTAGAAAGATATACCCGGAAGAAGATCTGGACACATTTTTGGGGGGAATATTTAAAAACACTTTGGGCGAAGATTTGGGCGAAAATCTGGAAAATCTGGGGGAAGAGTTGGGCGAAGATCCAGACGAAGCCGTGGAGGGAAATCTGAGGGAAGATCTGGACGAGGAAACTCTCGGGGGAGATCTAGGGGGAGATCTGTAGGAAGATCCGGTAGCAGATCTCCAGGAAGATCTGGGATAATATCTGGTGTAATACATGGAGAAAATCTCGGGGAAGATCCGCAGGGATCTGGGGGGAAGCCTGGGGGGAAATCTGGAGGAAACTCTGAAGAACAATCTGCAGGGACATTTGGGAGAAGATTTGGATTCGGTCCTCGGCGAAGATCTGGAGAACGATCTGGAGGAACATCTGGGAGAAGACCTAGATAAACATCTGGTAGACGATCCGGGGAAAGATCTGGAAGAAGATCTGTAGGAAGGTCAGGAAGCAAATCTGCAGGAAAATCTTGGCTAAGCTTTGGGCGAAGAAACGCAGGAACACCCGGATGAAGATCTGGAAGAAGCCAGAGGAAAGCCCAAAGGAACATGTGGAGGAATCATAGAAGAAGATCTTGGGGGGAATTTGCAAAAATGTCTGGAGGAAGATCAGGGGGTGATTTCAAATCAGATATGGGAGATCTGGATGAAGATTTGGCGGAAGGATCTGGAAAAAATCTGGAGGAATAACTCAAGGATTGTCGGACAGAGATCTGGAGGAAGATGTGAGCGAACGTCTAGGGCGACATTTTGGGGAAGAACTGGAGAAAGAGATGGGCAGAAATGTGGGGCAAATCCAGGGGAAAATCCAGAAGAAAATCTGAAAGAAGATCTGAAGGGTACCCTGGGGGCAGATCTGGGAAGCGATTAGGAAGATCTGGAGGAACATCTGAAGGAAAATATGAAGGAAGATCTGGGGGATGACCTGGAAGAAGATCGAGGGGTGATCTGGAGGGAAATCTGGGAATAAATATTGAACAACATCTAGGGGAAGGTTTGGGGGAAGATCCGGAGAAAGATCTGGATCAATAATGGGGGAAGGTATAAAGGAAAACCTGGAGGAAGATCTCAGGGGAGATCTGGACGAGTTTTAGGAGAGGGTCTGAGGGGAGACCTGGAGAAAGATCTGGAGGAACATCCAGGGAAATATCTGCGGCAAGATGTGGGGGAACATCTGGGCAAACATCTAGAGCAATATCTGGAAAAATATGCGGAAAAATACCGGAGAAAAATCTGGGTAGAGATCCAGCGGAAAATCAAGAGGAATCCATGGCGGAAGATCCAACGGAAAATCTAGCAGAAGATTTGAAAGAATATCGGGGGAGATCTGGAAAAAAATCAGACGAGCATCTGTGGAAACATCTGAAATAATATCTGGCTCGGGAGATTTTGGGAAACCCCTGGGATAACATGTGGAAACCTTCAGGGGAAGACAAATGTGGGCGGGGAATAGTTGGGGACAGCTACGGAGGGCGATCTGAGCGGAGATCTGGAGGACTTTATGTGGAGATATCCAGAGGAAATTCTACTGGGGAGTCTTGAGGAAGATCTGAAGGGAAATCCGGGATGAATGTGGACTTAGATATGGAAGAAAGTCTAGGGAATGATCTGTTCCGTAGAATATACGGCAGGAAATCCAAATAATTATATGGAAAACTATATGGAAGAATGTCTGGAGGAAGATGCGAGGATAATCACGACGGAGATCTGGGAGAATCTCCAGGACAATGTACATATAAAAGGTCCCGATACTTATGAAGAAAAACATGGTGGAACATGCATCGAAAGATCTGGAGGGGAATTGGGCGAAAACCTGAAGACACGTCCAGAGAAATATCTGGAGGAAGATCCGAATCAAGATCTGGAGGGAAATCTGGGGAACGATCTGGGTGAAGACACGGGCGAGGATCTGGCAAGACATCTGAGAGTATATATGGAGGACAACCTGGACGGCGATATGGGGTAAGATCTGGCGGATATGTGGAGGAAGATCTGTAGGAGATACAGGGGAGATCTGGAAGAACATCTGGGGGGGGAGATTTAGAGAAACATCTGGCAGAATATCTGAAGTCAGATATGAAGGAAAGTCTGCAAGAAGATCTGGGGGAATGTGGCAGAGGGTCTGAAATGATCTATGATGGAAGATCCGAAGGTGATCTGGGAGAATATCTGGAGAAACATTCGGCTGAATATCCGAAGGAAAATCTCGGCAGCGATCTGGGGAAATACTTGGAGGAGGATATCCAGGAATATCGGGCAGAAGATCTACAAGAAAATACGGAGGAATACCCCGAGAGGGTATGTAGGAATATCTGGAGGGATATATGCAAGGTAAATTTGATGAAGAGCTGCAGTACACTGGTCTGGGGGAAAACCCGCGGAAAAAATCTGAAGAATAAACTGGGGAAGATCTGGAGGGAATATCGAAGAATATCTGGGGGGGAGATCCTGAGGAAATTCAGGGGGGGAGATCAAGAGGAACATCATAAGGACAATCTGGAGGAAGATTTGGAAGAAGAGATGGAGAAACATCTTGAGGGAGATCTTGGGGGGCATCTGGGCAAAGATCTGGACGCATTTCTGGAACAAGGTATGGGAGGAGATCTGGAGAAACAGCTGAGAGCATACGTGTAGGAATATACGGCCGAATCTGTGGGGGAAACAACTGCAATAATATACGGGGGGAGATCTGGAGGAACATCTGGAGAAACACCTGGAGGGGAAATCCGCATGCGACTCTGGGAAAATTTCTAGGGGAAGATCTGGGAAACATGTGGGAATGTGTATACAGATCCGGGAGGAGATCTGGTTGAGATCTGAACGAAGATCTGAGGAGAACTCTTGGCTAAGATCTGGGGCGAACATCTACACGGCAACCACATGAACATCCAGATATACAACTGGAGGAACAGATAGGGCAAGATATGGGGGAAGATCACGAGACAAATATAGGAACAGCTGGAGGAAGATCTCTGGGGACATCTGCCAAAAAGACCTGGAGGTTGATATGAGGAGAATATCGCGGAAGATCTGGGAGCAGATCTAGAAGAGTATCTGGGAGAAGATTTGAAAGAACATCTGGAGAAAAAGCTGTGCGAATTTTGGAAGGAGGTCTGGAGGAAGATCTGGACGAAGGCCTAGGGCGAATATTGAAGGAAGATCTGGAAAAGATGTGGAAGGCGATCTGGAAGCACATCCAAGGAAAGATCGAACCGATGATCTGGAGGACAACCCGCAGGAATACCTGCTGGCCGATATGCGAGGAAATCTGGAGGAAGATCTGGTGGAAGACTGCAGGAAACATCTGGGGGATGATCTGGAGAGACGACCAGGTGGAAGATCTGGAGGGAGATCTGGGAACAATGTGGAGGAAGATCTGGAAGAACGTATGGAAGAAGATCAGGAGGGAAACCTGGGGGGAGATCTGGAGGAATTGGAGGGAGATCGGGAGGAACATCTGGGGGAAGATCTAAACGCCGCTCTGCGAACAGTTCTGGGGATATATCTACAAGCGAATATGGAAGAGGATCTGGATTCAGATCTGGTAGAAGATCTGAATTTAGATCTGGAAGAAGATCTCGGGGGAAATATTGGACATCTGGAGGAAAACCTGGGAAGAGCCTATGGAGAAGATATCCAAGACAATCTGGAAGATTATCTGGGAGATTATCTGAATAAAGATCCGAGAGACGATCTGGAAGAGCATATGAGAAAACTTCGAATACTATGGAAGAAGGTATGGATGAAGATCTGCATGAAAGTCTGGGAAGAAATCTGGCAAACCAGTTGGAGGAAAATCTGAGGGAGAATCCAGGGACAAAATTAGAAGAAGCTCTGGAGGGAGCTTTGGAGGAACATATGGGGGGTGATCTGGATGATGTTTGGAAAAAATGTGGGGGGAAGAATTGGGGCCGATCTGAAAAAAACGGGAGACAGATCTGGGGGAAAACCGAAGTAACATTTAAGCCAACATGAACACATCTCTGTGGGATTATATGGAAGACTGAAATGTTATATGGAAGACAACCTCAAATAATATCCGGAGAGGGATCCAAGGGAAGATCTGGCGAAATATCAGGAGGAAGATATGGCAGAATATCTGAGAAGAACATGCGAAAGGTCTGGATGAATATCCGGGGGAAGATAGGGAAGAAGATCAGAGGGAAGATCAGAGAGAAGATCTGACGGAAATTCTGGAGAAAGATCCGGAAGGATATCTGGAGGGGGTCCACAGGAAGATCTCGAGGAAGATCCGGGGGCAGAGCCGAAAGCAGATCTGAAGGATGATATCAATTAATATGGATGTCGTGCCCGTGCGCTCTTTTTTCGAATGGCCAGCGGCAGACAAAGTGCCAAGGAAGCCATGCGCCGGAATAGGGCGGCGAAGGCCCAACCCAGCCCTCAGGGCGGGGGCCTCCGACGCAGGCCCAGAAAAAAAAAGGCCCACACCCTAGCGCTGGCCTTCCCGATGGTCCAGACGGAGTCTCAGACCAAGCGAGCAGGGTTCGGAGTGTGGGTGGGCGAGCCAAGCAGCTACGGAGCCGTGCGGCCAACCGAAATCCCGCGCACTCCCTCCATCCATTCTCATGGGGGCATGGCATATGGATGTCGTGCCCGTGCGCTCTTTTTTCGAATGGCCAGCGGCAGACAAAGTGCCAAGGAAGCCATGCGCCGGAATAGGGCGGCGAAGGCCCAACCCAGCCCTCAGGGCGGGGGCCTCCGACGCAGGCCCAGAAAAAAAAAGGCCCACACCCTAGCGCTGGCCTTCCACAGCCCCCAGCTCTGGACGCCAAAACTTGGCGGCCGTTTTCAAGGCGTCACGGGACTCCGGCGAGAGGCGCTGATCGCCCAGCATCGCGAGCCCTTCTGTGATGTAAATCCTGGCGGTGCGCCCGTTTGACCACCGCCCTCGCACGATTGTCCGGTCGAGGAGGCCGTGGTACCCGAAATCGTGGGTGGCGCCACCCCACTGGAAGCTGTAGAGGCTAAATTCGTGGTCGCGGAGGCCCAGCTCTTCGCAAGCCTTCTTGAATAGCGCTCGCTGGCCTGGTCCCGAGAGGGGGGCCAGCAGCTCGCCGGGCCTCCGCTTCTGCACCAAGTTTCGGAGAGCTGCGAGGACCACAGCGTCCGAGACCGTGACGCTCTCCGAAGCACCTTGGCGCTTCCCAGTCTTGGTGAGGCCCAGGTTGATGACGGCTGAACTGCAGTCCCGCGCGAACGAAACGTCGCGCGCGCGGATGCCGAACATCTCCCCTGACCTGAGAAAACAATGAAATCCGACAAGCCACACGACCCCCACGGCAAAGTTATGCATTGCCGCAACGTAGCCAGTCAGCCCTATGGCGACGGCACGCGGCACGGGGGGGGCTCGAGCCGGGAGCTCAGCTTTAGCCCACGCGCCCAACAGCCTCCAGCTTCCGTTGAGCCTTCGGCGGAGGCGCGGGGCAAAGTGCTGGAGCCCTGCCACCAAATCGTTGGCGTAGCTTTTAGGCTCGCCTTCGGCCCAAAGCTTTTCGAGGTACTCCATTACACTCTGATCAGTGTCATCGGGATCGTCAGGGGGCCCCTGTTCTGACCTCTGCCAGGCGCGGAAAGCTTCCACCTGCGCCCGGTAGCGTCGGAGGGTGGCCGGCTTAACGACCTGATCCTCCAAGCGGCCGAGTGCCAAACGGGCGCTGGCCCTTGCCTCCCTTCTACGGCTAGCTAGAATCATTTTCGGCGCCATCAGCAGACCTGCATTGCCCCGCCGACTGGTCTGGAGCGCGCCACCGGCAGGTCGCTCAGCCGCCCGTGTCGGACAGCGAGCATACCCGGGGCCTCGGAAGGCCGACCTGGGGGCGCTGCGCAAACCTCCTCGGAGGGGTCTGGCGGACGCCCACGCTCGCGCTGTCGCGAGGGGGCACCCGCAGGGTTCATCTTGCTGGTCACGTAGCCGTAGAAGGGGTAGAGGTTACATGCGAGAATATGTGCGTCTATGCGCTGCACCAGGTGGTTCAGCCTTCGCGACGAGGACCTCCCCTTCGCGCACACCGAGAGGGCCACCTGGGAGTCGATGAGAATGCCGAGGCGCGAGTGGTGGCGATCCGCCCTCCGAGCGAACCATTTCAGCGCCGCCAACACTTCCTGCAACTCCAATTCGTTGATGTGCCGCCCTTGCTTCTTCCAGCCATGGGCGAGCACCGTCTGCCACGCCCATCGGTCTGAGGCAATTGGGGCTCGAGGCCGCACCTTGGCCCGGAACGGCAGACCTATGTCTAGCCGAACGTCCGAGCCGCGGCGATCGGCATGTCGCAGGAGGCCATAAACAATTGCCCTCGCTGCCGACAGCTCGTTCGCGGAGGCCCCGGCGGAAGCGGGGGGCGATAGGGTAATTTCGTCCTCATGTTCTACCCTATCGCCCTGGGCGCCTGCGGAGGCCCGCCCGCTGGCCCCGGGGGCCTCCAAGCCCTCGCACGGGGCCGCGGCGACCCGGCCCCTTAAGAGGGGGAGCACCGTCCGAGGCCTTTCGCCGCGGGCTCGAGCAGCGAGTTCCTTGCAGAAGGCTCGCTGGATCTCGGGGGCCGTGGGCGGGGCTTCGATGAGGCCCGCCGCCTGAAGGCCCTGCCCGAGGAGCCACGCGACGACGCCCACGTGAAGGCTGCCCCCAAGGAGGGCGCACCTCGCGGTGTCGTCGGAGCGCGCTGAGCTCGGCCGAGCGGGCTCTGTGTGCCCGGGCCAGAACCCCAAGAGCACTTCCCTCTCCGGCGCCTGCAGCACGCGCCGGCCGCCCTCCGCCGACGCCAACGTGCAGGCGTCCCGGTAGGTGAACGGGGAGAAGCGGTACTCGCCCGCCGCCCACCGCGCCCTCTCGTGGGCCTTGCACTCTCGCAGGCCCGCGGGGGCTGGGGGCGGCGCCAGTCTGGGGACGGCCCGGGTGAATGCCGGGAGCCTCGCAGACGACCCCAAATCCCAGCAGCCATCAGGGAGCATCCAAATCTCCGTGGGCCCCACCTCCGCCTCGAGCTCGATGACGTCGAAGAGCGGCGAGGCGCGCCGCCCGCACCCGTCGCCAACGGGGAAGCTGCACCAGAAGAGCCTGGGGCGGCGAGCTCGCGAAATCCCCGCAGCATCGATGAGGACAGGGTGCCGGCCGAGCCCTTCGGAGACCAGCGTGCACGACTCGGTCGTCATGCTGGCGACGTTCTCGACGACGTCGACCCAAGGGAGACTGCCGAATTCGAGCTCCAGCAGCCGCGCCACCCTGGGAATCTCCCACAGCAATGCCGATCGGTGCTCGGACAAATCCTGGAAGGGCAAGCTCCACGAAACCGAAATACCAGTCGCCCCAGTGGCCGCGCGCCGGACAGCAGCGACCATCTCGCGGGTGACCTTGGTGATGTCGGGCCACTCGATCCCGCCAGGCCAGGCCCGGCGAGAGACAGCGCGCGCCGCCGGATCCTTCTCGCAGATGACGCGGAGGACCACTGCGGCGCCAATGCGGTCGCGGGCTTGCCGCCAGCCCCCAGCGCCTCCGAAGAACTCGAACGCGATGAGCCCGGCGGGGGCCAGGGAGGACAGGGGGCCAGCGGCCGATGCCGCAGCAGCCCACCCTGCCTCCGTGAGGCCACAGGCAACGCACGTGCCACCGCCAGACTCGGAAGCGTCTGTGGCGAGCGGCCGAGGGAACAGCTTGGCCCGGAGGTCGGTGTAGACAAGCGGAGCCACGGCGCAGGCCATGTACAACTCGTCACCCCCGCGCCTGGAGACCGGCCGGCGGCCCTTCCAGGAGGCGATCTCCTTCCAGATCGCGTCGAGGGTGCCGAACGCGGCACGCCGGTGGCCGAAATCGAAACACCACCTGCCGGCCGCCGCTGCCACCCAGAGGGGGCCGCAATCCGCCCGCGACAGCACCCAGCATGTGAGGGCTAGGTGCAGCAGCAATTTGGGGAGTGCGGGGGCGACCCGACCGAGACGCCCATCAACGCCAGACCCCATGCTGACGGCCATCGGCGAACGCTCGACGACTTTAGTCTCATTTCGCCGGATGCCCCAGCGATCGGGGGCAGCGCGGACCGCCAACTGCTCGACCGAAACCTGGCCCACGAGGTCACGGGCGGCGGCCTCGCTGACAACCTCCCCAAAGTCCACGTTGTCCACGTAGACCTTCCACCACGCCCGGGGGAGGCGGTGAAGCTGGAGAGGGTAAGCTGCGCCGCGACGGAGCTCGGCCGAGGCGGCGGGGGACCTATGTCCCGGCGCGCCGCCCAGGACGATCTGCCTGGACAAGTGTTGGACGATGCCCACGGCAGAGAGCCACCCCATCGGAACGACTGCAACCGCCACCCAAATCAGGGGGCCCTTGGCCCGCCCGAGCGCGAGGGGGTCGACGGGCGCCGAGAGGGCCATCCAAGGCCGCCAGCATGACGGAAGGCGAAACACGTGGAAGCAGCCCTTGATGTCGTCGCTGCTCCACAGGAGCGTCTCCCCATCCGCGAGGAGCGTCACGTGGTGCTCCCCGCCCACGGGGAGCAACCCGATGTCGCCGTCGATTGGCCTCTGCACGCGGTTGCTCGGGACCATGTTAATGATCAGCCGGAGCACCCGAGTGGCGGGCGGGATCGGGACGCCCGCCTTCTCCACCCCGAACGCCCCGTTGAGGAGGGGCTGGCCGCCGACCCGCGCGATGCTGTCGTAGGGGATCTCCTCAAACACCCCGCGGCCCAAGAGCTCCGCGACGATGGAGGCCCACTCGCGCGGGGTGGCGTGGACCTTGGCCGCCGCCTGCGCGGTGCAGATCCCGTCTGGGTCGCGCACGCGCTCAGGGTGAAGCAGCGCCTCCCTGACCTCCGCACTCGCGATGGCGAGGGGGTCGACCGAGGCGGCCTCACCGCGAGCAGGGGGCCCGGGGAGAAGCTCCGCCAGAGTGAGCGGTTCGGGGAGGGAGACCTCGTCGCCTCCGTAGCTCAGCCGCTTCCGGGCCAGCATGGAGACAAAGTCGACCGTGGGCGAAGTGCATGCCCTGCCGGTCTCCTCGTCGACCCGGTCCACCAAGGCCTCGCACTGGGCCCGAATGTGGGCGAGGGACGCGAGCTGAGCGACCGTGGGTCTATGTCCGCACCAGTCGAGCCCGCAGATCCTCCCACCAGCGCTGTACATCCAGTTCAGGGCGACGATGCAAAGTATCTGCCAAGCTCCGATCGCGACCAACCGCCCCCTCTCGGGGCGCCCCTGCCTGCCCTCCTTGACACCGCCGGCGCGCAGAAGCCGCTCAAGCGCTGCCTCGACTGCGGCCTCGCCCCTCGGGACAGGGAGCGGAAGGACATCCCGCTGCCGCTTCCCACCCTGCCCTGGCTGGCCCGTGAGGTGGCGCCTCGCGCAATCACCGAGGGGCGAGTCGCGCGCAGCCAGGGCCGCGAGGATGGCCGCGCCGATCTGCCCTGCGCACATGCCGCCGGCCGCGACACGCTGCAGAGCCTGCCTCTCTTTCAGGGGCGCCCCCATCCACGGGGCGGCACCGGCCGCTGGCCGGAGGTCCACGGACGGATGAGGACGCCGCGGAATCGCACTCGAGGTCGCTGATCCCAATCGGTCCTCCTGTCGAGACCGACTCCGAGCCTGGTGAGGGGGGCCCGCTGACCCAACCACCCCCTGGCTGCCTGGAGTGACGGGGGCCGGTGATGCACGCTCCCGGGATCGCCGATCCACCTCGTCGCGGGAGGCCAGGTGGGCCCGCCCCGGCTGCAGAGGGCGGCGCTCTGCTGGGCTCGCCGCGCCGCCCCCGGCGTCGATGTCCTCGCCCATCTCGCTCCCGCTGAAGCGATTGCGATCGCTGCCGTGACCGCCACGGAGCGGACCGCGCCCAGGGCGGGCTCCGCGACCTCTGCCGCTGCCCCTCCCGAAGGCGCGGCGCGCGCGGCGGCGCACCGTCTGGCGGTTGCCGCCTTGGGGCCCTATGGCCCGATTCGCTCCCTCCGGCGCTGCCCGCGCAGCTCCGGGGCTCCCCTCCCAGGGAGCCAGGCGCGCGCCCGGGGCTGGAGCTGGCCCCGCGGCGCCGCCGAGCCCCTAGCCGGGAGTGCGGCTGCGGGTTCTCGAAGCCGCATCCTGGAGCTTGATCCTGTCGAGCTCGGCCCGCGTCGCCGCAGCCCGCTCCCGGTCGCTCGACAGGCCCACGTCGGCGTTTGGGATCAACTCCAGGTGCCGGGCGATGGTCCAGTTGCCGTCGGCCACTGAACACTCCAGCGCCTTGAAACGTTGAATGAGCACGTCGGCCACGCGCGGGAGGTTGCCGTCCATGAGCCCATCGAGGCACGCCGCGATCGTGCGGAGCTCCCGGCATGTCCGGAGCCCGGTCGCCTCCGGAGTGTACCGCTGGTGAAATACGCCCACCAAGTACTGCTGGATCTTCCCGACCTCGCCGCTGGCGCCGGCCGCCCCCCCCAGAGGTGCGAGGTACCTCTGCATCTCCTGCAGAGCACGCTCGAGAAGAACACCCGGATGACGGCGCGCGAACCCGGCCAGGTCCTGCGCTCTGGGGGGGGCAAAGGGAAAATCCTCGTCCTCGTCCTCATGGCCGCGCCGCGCGGCACGGCGGAGCAAGGTCTCCAGGCTGCTATCCTCCTCCGTGTACGGCCGCACCGCGTCCACCCCGGAGGAGTGGCGATCCGCCGCCGCTGGTAGAGCCCGTCCACGAACGACACTCGCAAGCGCTTCTGGGGGCGACCCTCGTGGCCTTCCGCCCCAGCCGCCGGCCCGCACTCCTCGCCGGCGAGACGACGCTTCGCGGCCTCCAGCCTGCGCCGGAGCTCTGGCGCCCGCCGCTCGTAGCGGTCGTCGCCGTCGTCGTCGGCGCGGCCGCGACCCATGGAGACCGGCCGTTCGTCCTCGAAGAGGGGCGCCCCGTGGGCACTCTTCCTTCCTGCGGCGCCGCCTCGGCCGTCTTCCGGCGGGGGCTCCAAAGGAGGGGGCAGCGGCGTCGGGCGCCCAGCCTCTCTGCAATCGTCTCGCGGGGTGGCCGTGCCACCCGCGTCTGGGAGCCCGAGGGCCTCGGGCATGTCGAAGAAGACGTGGTCGGAGTGCGTCTCGAGCCTCGACCTCCACCTGCGCACGTGGTAGACCTTGTGGCGGCCCCACCTCTCGTCGCAGCTGGCCGCATGGCCGCCTGCGCAGAAATGGAGCACCGCCCCATTGTCGGAGTTGATGCCGTGGAGCCCGGCGAAGTCCTCCTCGACCTTGCCGTCGATGTCCTTGTTCTCGGACCCCAGGAAGTACGCCTGCCTGAAGAAGCCCTGGTCGTTGGGCTCCGGGCAGTCCTCCGCGCCCGTCCCCGGTGGGACCAAGCAGAACGCGAGGTTCCCCAGGGCTGCCCCGCCCGTCCTCGGTGGGCGGCCCTTGAAAGCCTCGACCTCCACGATGTCGTGGGCACCCACGCGGCTGAGGTCGCCTGCATCGCTGACGCGAGTGATCCCCCACGCTGGGATCCGCACCGGCTCGCAGGCGCGGCCGTCGCGACGGCGGCCCCCTCCTCCTCCGCCCTCTGGCGGGGGTGGAGCCGCCGCGGGCGCCGGGGTTCGCGAGCGGCGCCGCTGCCGACCCCCGCCCTCGCCGCCTCTGCGGGGGGCCGGAGCTGCGGCCGGGCGCCGAGCAGCCGCAGCTGGAGCCGCGGCTGGTCGCCGGAAGGCCATGTGCCCCTCCGGCTGCCGATGAAGCCCCTGCAGGGGCGCTGAGGAAATGAAAAGGCTGGGATGCGCGCCCCAGGGTGGCGCGCAACAAAGTAGAACCAAAATGTGCTCGAGCCAAGCAGCTACGGAGCCGTGCGGCCAACCGAAATCCCGCGCACTCCCTCCATCCATTCTCATGGGGGCATGGCATATATTTGGGATTATTTAAAGCTAGACCAGGAGAAAGATCTCGAAGATCTGGACGGGAATCTCGGAGATGATATGGGAGAGATCTAAATGTCGTGACGGCGACCTGGGGAATGGCCTGGCGGAAACCTTGACATGTGAAACAAACGCGCGGCGCATGCCCGCGCGAAAACGAGACGCTCAGAATTATCCTGGCGAAGGACCCAACCATTTGCAGTTGTGAGTGCCGTCGTTGCGGGTCTCGCCTTCGGGGGATCTCCTCCTGGGGCCACGAAGCATGCGAAAGGTGTGCCGATGTGGGGCGGGGCCGCCATGTGGGCGCTGCCACGGGTGCTTTGGGCGGAACGCGCTACGGGGCAGCGAAAAGTGTGACGCATGCGAACGCTGGCATTTGGGCCTTAGACGGGGCTCCCTGTGGGGCCACGAAGCGTGTGAGGAGTGTGCCGAAATGAATGTGGGTGACACATGCGCGCGGTGTCACTGGGGCCTTGAGTGGAGCTCCCTACGGGGCCACGAGGCGTGTGAGGGGTGTGCTGAAATTGGCGTGGGGGGGGGGGACGCATGCGGGCGGTGGCACTGGGGCCTTCGGTGGAGCTCCCGATGGGGCCGCGAAACGTGTGAGGGGTGTGCCGAAATGGGTGTGGGGGACGCATGCGCGCGCAGGCACTGTTGCATTAGGAGGAGTTCCCCATGGGGCTACCAAATGGGTGCGGTGGGTGCATGCGAAAGCTGGCATGTGGGCCTTCGGTGGGGCTCCCAGTGGGGCCACGAAGCGTGTGAGGGGTGTGCCAAAATGAGTGCGGTGGGCGCACGCGAACGCTGACATTTGGATTTTCGGTGGGGCGGCCTGCGGGGTCACACAACGTGAGGGACGTGCCAAAATTGGCAGGGAAGGCGCGTGCGAACGCTGGCATTTGGGCATTCTGTAGGGTTCCTTATATGGCCTCGAAACATGTGAGGGTCGTACCATAATTGGTGCGGTGGGCGCGTACGGACGCTGGCATTTGGGCGTTCGGTGGCGCTCCCTATGGGGCCACGAAGCGTGCGAGGGGCGTGCCAAAATGGTCGGGGCACGCGCGCGGGAAAGCTGGCATGTGGGCCTTAGGTGGGGTTCCCTGTACGGCCACGAAACGTGTGAGGGGCGTACTAAAATGGGTACGGCTGGCGAATGAGAGCGCTGGCATTTGGGCATTCGGCGGGGCTCACTATGGGTTCCCGAAGCGTGTAAAGGATGTGCCAAAATGGGTGCGGTGGGCGCACGCGAACGCCGGCACCTGGGCCCTCGGTGGAGCTCCCTATGAGACCCCAGAACATGTGAGGGTCGTGCCAAAATTGGTGCGGTGGGCGCAGGCGAACGCTTGCATTTGGGTGTTCGGTGGGGTTCCCTATGGAGCCGCGAAACGAGTCAGGGGCGCGCCCAAAAGGAGCGGGGCAGGCGCACGGACCAGCGAGCATGTGGGCCTTAGGCGGGTTCCTTGTAGGGCCACGAAACGTGTGAGGGAGGTGCCGAAATGGGTGTGGCTGGCGCATGCGAGCGCTGGCATGTGGGCACTCGGTGGGGCTCCCTACGGGGCTACGAAGCGAGCGAGGGGTGTGCCAAAATGGGCGCGGTGGGCGCACGCGAACGCATTTGGGCGTTGGGTGGGGCTCCTTGTGGGGCCACGAAACGTGTGACGGGTGTGCCAAAATAAACGCAGTGGGCGCATGCGAACGCTGACATTCGGGTCTTCGGTGGGGTGCGCGAGGGGTGTAATGAAACGGATTATGACGATGATGCTGATGATGCTGAGAGGAGGAAGGAGGGGGCAGCGGGAGGAGGAGGAGGAGGAGGAACGCGGGGCGTTTTCTCTTCAAAACGGGGACCCAACACCACAGGATGGCTGGGAAGATCAACGGCGCAATTGCAAAAACGGACGAGCACGCGACGGGCGTTCAGGTTTTGCGCAAAACGCCATCCCGAACTGGCTTAAACTTATCCTGGCGAAGGACGCAACCATCTGCAGTTGTGAATACCGTCGTTGCGGGTATCGCCTTCGGGGGACCTACTCATGGGGCCATGAAGCACGCGGAGGATGTGCCGATGTGGGGCGGGGCCACCATGTGGGCTATGCGGAACGCACTACGGGGCAGCGAAAAGTGCGACGCACGCGGGCGGTGGCACCGGGGCCTTCGATGGGGCACCCTATGGGGCCACGAAGCGCGTGAGGGGTGTGCCGAAATGAAGGTAAGTGACGCATGCGGGCGGTGGTACCGGGGCCGTCGGTGGAGCTCCCTATGTGGCCACGAAACGTGTGAGGGGTGTGCCGACATGGGCGTGGGGGACGCATGCGGGCGGTGGCATTGGGGTTGAGGGGTGCGCCGAAATGGGTGTGGGGGACGCATGCGCGCGGTGGCACTGGGGCCCTCGGTGGAGCTCCCTATGGGGCCACGAAGCGCGCGAGGGGGCGTGCCAAAGTGGGCACGGCGGGTGCATGCGAACGCTGGCATTTGGACCTTCGGCGGGGTTCCCTAGGCGGCCACGAAGCGTGAGAGGGTCGTGCCAACATGAGTGCGGATGGCGCTCGCGACCGCTGGCATTTGAGCGTTCGGTGGGGCCCCCTGCGGGGCCGCGAAGCGCGCGGGGGGCGTGCCAAAATGGGCGCGTGCGAACGCTGGCGTTTGGGCCTTCGGTGGGGATCCCACTGGGGCCACAGAACGTGTGAGGGGCGCGCCAAAATGGGCGGGGCATGCGGGCGCGAAAGCTGGAATGTGGATCTAGGCTTCCTATAGGGCCACGTAACGTGCGAAGGGCGTGCCAAAATGGGCCCGCGGCCTAACGCGCAAATCCCACTGCGCATAAACCGACGGACCAGGGCCTAAGGCCAGAGGCCCAGGCACCTCATGCCAGTTTGCACTGCAGGGCCCACGCCCTTGGCCCGGCGCCCGAACCCTCGGGCA